ATTTTTTTTTTACTATGTTATGTATGTTCTAAGGTTATTAGAAATTAATAGCTTGGGTTTAATGTTGAACTCAAAACCGTTACAAAACTAATGTATCTGTTTTGAATCTACTAATAGTTTTATTTAAAATATCTTCATCCAGCACCCTTGTTAATGGCAGAAATTTAACAAAAAAGTGGCAGGCCTAGTGTGACGATAAAATACGAGGTTTAAACAAAACTCCTACTGTGGGGCCCCTGCGGTGACCACTTGAAACCTTCTCGGAAACCTTTATATTCACACAAGTGACTCATTTATACTTTGCTTATTTAAATTATATACAAAGGACCATGGTGTCGGACATATTTAGGCGAGGTCGCAGGTAAAAACTAGCCTTTATAGAACCAGGAAGAGCGTCATTGGTAGACACTTTCTGTTCGTTTCACATAAATCACATTTTTTAATAATCCTTCTTATAAAAGTAAAAAAACAAAGCAACGCGCGAGGCCATACCGGTATTTTTAGATTTACAATTAAGACAAAGAATACATCCAATCCGAAATTTGATATAATAATCGGTTTTTATCGCGATTTATAAATCAACCTGTACATAAGACTGTTATACAGAATTCGTCGGTTCCATTCTTACGAATCTTAAGAAAAGAAGCTTAGAGTTTCTTTTTTGTCCCAGATCTTTCTCGAGACCTTAATAAATCAGTCGTTTGAACATTTAGTATTTACGAATTAAGGATTTCGCATTATTCGCTCATGAAAATCTTGATAAAGTGATATATTTCTTGACGATAGGAGGCATAAAGAAACAGCTCGTTTGAATACGAAAATTTGTACTGAAATAACTTTTATTATAATTTATTGTTAAATGAAATATTGGGTGTTCAAAGTATTTATGAGGTAAGAAATATTTTAAACATTTACTTAGGGCCTGCGGTCTACTGGTCAGTGGGCGTAACTGCTGAGCCAAATGTTTGGAATCGATTCCCACCCAAAACAAATAATTAAGCCTATTAAGTACGATGATTAAGATTATGTTTGGGTGTAATTTACCTATAGCTCATATATATATATATATATATATATATATATATATATATATATATATATATATATATATATATTAAGTAATATATAATTTTGTTTTTGTCAGTAGTCTGGATCTCATGGTACAGGTTTGTCTAGTACGGTATTTGTTTGTGTTGTTTGTGAACTGTCTCGAGTTATGATTACTTAAGCTGTAAAATGAAAACGGAATGCGGTCTACTAATATCATGACGTCACTTCTATGTAACCAGCCCTGCACTTCCTATTAAAGAGCTAGGAGTTCTGGCTCCGGTCTATGCTAAAAATACATCACTATGCTAGATTTTTCTTTGGGATGTAGCTGTGTTAATGATTGAGCTCATGTAATTGATTAGATGGGGTTATGACAGTATACGGTATCTTCTTTTCAGGGGATTTATATTCTCAATATTTCTGATGATGAATAAGGAAAACGTCCCAGCGTATCCCAATTCGCATGTAATGATCGATAGCATTGATGTTTTCTCAATTACCGAATTCTTTTAACGCATAAGGCGTTGGAAATCAACCAAATGATTACTTTTCAACGGTTTGAGTCGCAAATCTTCATGTGCGTGCCAATCAGACAAGCGTCGAAGCGAACAAACTGATAATACCGTCCATTTTATAACCAACGATTAATTGACGTCAGTCTTAAAATAAAACGTACGACAATGTGTAACTTCACAAGTAACGTTACTTATCTATAGACTGCCTTATAGAGTAAATACAATATATGGCTATATTGGCTATTGGTCTTTTAGGCTCCGTGGTTATAACAACTAATAGGTACCGGTACAAATCAAATGTTTTTTTTTTATTACCAATTGCGTGTAACAATGTTTCTTTCCATTAATTTTATTATTTAAAAATTTAATGACCACTTTTCAGAGTTAGAATTATCTGCTCTTTTCACTTATATTTTAAAAATTTACGATACAAAAGTTTAATAAAATAATAGTGATATATAATTTTAATTTCCATCTTTTCTTTTATTACGTAATATTTTTAAATATATTGTTATATGTACAGACACTGTTACCTGCCACTCATTTCTGCCACTATCCATTCAAAGAATATCTGGTAGAGATCGCTTTTAGTGATAAGAGATAATGAGCAAGAAATTTAAGATCCTGAGACACTAAATATCACATTTAGTTTACATTACTTTCATAAATAACACGAATAATATTCTAGTCTTCATTGTTTTAAGAAAATATCAGTTTCCTGCAAAAAAAAAATATAATGCTTTAATAAGGTTGAGGGTTGAACACATTTATATTTTCCAAATTTGTAACTAGGTAAAAGGTTATATACGACAAAACCTTAATTACTCATTTCTGTTCAATCATTCAATCAATCACACTTAATGATATAAGTAAAACATGTACAATACTATAACCCTCGGTATAACGGTTCTTATATACTATGTTGTACTGCAGATATGCGCATGTGAGGGTTGTGTTGCAGGTAAAAACAGCTAATTGGTGTTTCGACGAAAAAAACCAAATAAGTCCTTTAAGATGTACATGAGGCGGGTGTAATTGCCAACGGGTTATCATTAAACATTCATGATGCAATGATTGAGTCGCTACTCGAGGGGCAATTACACTTTTAAAATGCTCGACTGACAGACTATACCTTGGTGATTACTCGCAAAATGTCCAGCAAATGAGCGTTAATATAATTTACAGGCATCGACAGTTAACGGTACTAAATCAACTCTGTTATTCATTATTTTTCGTATACATGATTATATTTATTAAGAAAATAGTTTAGTTTATATTTTATTTATCATCATTCAAATGATCAAAACAATAGGAAACGCACAAATAAATTATAGAACTTTGCAGATGATTTTAACGACACTTGTTTTTGAAAGTTAAGTTCAAGTAGACTAGAATTTAATATAAAGTATAAAAACATTGTTGTAGCTTATTTAAACAATTAGAATTAATAAATAATAGAACTATGTAACTTATTTGAGTCCTAAATTAAAGAAAGACTTAAAAAAACTTCTTTTTGTAGCAAAAAAGACATTATCCACGCCGTTCCTGGACTTCAAAAGTCCACTATGGATTTTCTCTGTTGCCAATATCTACACGTGCAGGGCCGCAGGCGTAATCGTAAGTTACTAGCTTTCGTGAAACAAAATAAGACAATTCTGTTCAAGTAATCAAAAACCACAACATGAGAAAAAAAAAATTGTGCAAGTTAGAAGCTGTCTTCCGTATCGACTCCTGGTTTAATCATCGGAATCTGTGCAAAGAAAATGGTTTTAAAGATGTAAATAAAACGTCAAATCAAAAAGCCCGTCTGCGCGAAATCTGTAGAACTTGTTTCACATCCAGCAACAGTTTCAAAACTTTCTTCGTATTCTAAGGACAATCTGTGCATGTGCTCTGTCCTCATCGCTCTCGTGTGAGGGTACAGTGAGAAGGCGTGGGCGAGAGGGACGGAGTACATGAAGACGTCACGCGGGGCGAAGGCGCGCGAGTGTTCTTGCACTTGTTTTATTTATTTTGTTGGCCGCCAGTTTTTTTTGTTCGTTTTCTCGAGCTACGTCTTTGTTCGGGTTCGGTCGGGGCGCGCAATCGTCCGTGGCTGGTAAGGTGGATAATTTCTTTATCCTACTCAGCCCACCCGACAATTTTCTGGGGCCGCATTATTATGAGGTTGATTTGTTTAATAATTTTATTACTGGGCGCATTGCGCATGCGCGCGAGCTATTGTGCTCTTATTTTTGTTTAGCTTTGCGCTTTTAGTGGTCGCTTTAGTTTTGTTTCTCGTTGTAAACGTGGGAATGGATTGTTTTCTCATTGTTTATCTGATTTATCTATTGTTTTGCTGTTTATTGTAAACGTCCGGCTTAATAGACAGTCGACAAATTGAGTGCAAGATGTGTGTATTTAACATGACAAGTTACTTAAAGTGATGTTATTTTTTTACGTCGAATTTATTCTGTCAACACATTAAGTTATTGTATGATGATGGATACCTGTCTCCCGGAAAGAATGCAAAAGCATATTCGTATAAGTGGAATAAACTGGATGAAGAAAGTGTATTTCTTCATCCAGTTTATTCCACCTATTTACAAACATTTTTTTTTTTTAATTATCTCATAGAATTATCCGCAGCATCCATTTGTTTGTTAATAGTTTTTGCTCACAAACGTTCAGACATATTACGTCACGGATGCCGCTGGGTTCCGAGCGGTCGACCTCTTTTTATTGTCTACGGAACCCCACTGTTAGACCTTGAATTCGCACCGAAATGTCCCCAACGATACTTCGAATACTTGAATAGGGATCGAAAAAGTTCCAAATGGGTCATTGTGTTCAAACTTTTTGGCAAGGCATTTAAATATTATCATTGGCCAACGAAGCTTTCTAATTAAATGACACCCCGCGTGGAAGAAAATGATCTTCTCAAGATGGCATATTAGGAAAAGTTATTTGAATATTAAAATTTGAAAAAACTTTTGATTTTGACAGTAGATTCTGCTGTCTTAAATAAACCAGATGGTGATTTAAATTAAACAGATTTGCTAGACGCAAATCTGTTTAATTTAAATCACTAAATAAAGGAAGATTTATGTATTACCATGAGTAAAGTGAATTAGTAGGTAATGTGAAAGACTTTAACACATTCAACGTTGAGCAGATAGCTGATCATGGTGTCACCTTCCTGGTATCAGTAGAACAATCTTTTACAGTTAGCTGGGTTGTGTTTTTCTTGGTTAAATTAGTTATAGATAGGTTATAGGATTAGAAAGACATAAGCATTGTTTCCACTTCTTTTCTTGGCGAAGGATACCAGAGTTATACTATGTGACCTAAATGCAGCAAGTAATTGTCGGCTGGCATTCACCGAACTAATAGAAATTAATTCGTTTTTAAATGTTGTTGTTCTATAATCCTAATGTCAATTTAAATTGTCCACAGGTTAGCAGCGGCTGCAGCAGCTGCGGCTGGTGCAACTAGCGAGCTGAGCTACCTCGCAGCTCTCCATCCAGCGTACCGGCCGGTACCTTATGACCATGCTCTTTATGGAGCTAATACGCTTAGAGGTATGTACCTGTATCGACTGGATCGACTGGAAATTCCCCCCCATTAATAATACAGATTTTTACGGGCATAAATACGCAGCATAAATTAGTTATAATTTACTGGTAGGGGGAGGACCGAGAGCCAATGCGTTCTTTAGGAGAAACCTATGTCCAACTGTTTAGTATAATAGGTTGATTTACTGATTAAAGGGGAAAATACTGTTAATTTACAAATAAATTACTGTGGCATGATGATCTCTGGCAACACTTTAGCGTTTAATATTCGAGACATTTGATCATAAAATTTCTGTACCTTTTTACCAAACGTACCAACAACTAATTCATGCTATGCAATAACTGTTACAATATTTAGTGGTAAGTCGTAACTATAAAAGTATTGGACCAATAATCTAGACCTTAACAACAGAAAAGTAATACAATAAGTCGCATAAAAACATGAGCCACGATATCAGGATTATACACAAGCATTGCATAGCTTCATGTAGGGTTGTCACCTAAATGTCACCTTAAAAAAAAGCCCAAAAATAGATGTCATATTTGAAATAATAGGGTTGCATCCAGTAATTTTTTGTATACCTATATACAGACATAAACAGTAATTTTACATACCAACTTTTTTTATTACAAGTCAGTATCGTACAAAGTGTAAGCAATGAAAATAAAAAAAACCACATAATTACACTGTCTTTACACATGCAATACGATCCATATACTTTATCAGTATTAATGATATAGTTCTGGATAATCAGCTCCTTATTGAACCTACCAGCCCTAGGAAGTGTAAACTTAGTAACATTATACTGCACTCGTAATGATAACTCAGCAACACTAGTCTAATAAATTATATGCACACTCAAACAATGAGTCTTTGGTTTTATAATTAGATGCAATAAAAATTAAATACAAAACAAGTTTTAAAATTTTCTATCTATAAATCTAACTTTCATAGTACAAGCTCTGCTTAGTTTTTGAAACTAGATGGCGTGATGTGTCTGTTGCCCTAGTTTATGTTGAGCAATGCGGTATAAAGAAATACCTAAATTCGCATTTGGAAAACTTAGGAATTATCAGACAATTCTGGCTCTTCTTTTTCTATTTCAATCTCCGAGATATGGATTGAAGGAAGATATCAAAATAAAGTCCCATAAAGTAACAAAGTTGGCATTATAATTGCTGTAACGATTCCTTAGCAATCTCTTTCACGAGAGTAATGGAGAATCCATATTACTAAGGTGATCTATTTTTTTTTCTGGTTTATATTTTATTAATATTACATAGAACTAGTCCAAATCATAAATTATTATCACCTTACCGAAATTACTCCAGCGTAAAGTAAATTCTATTGGTTTTAGAAGCTTGTTTCTCTAAAATAAAATCATTTGTTGCAGTAACGATTTCCTTCAAAATTAAAGTAAATATAAAGTTTACTGGATTAAATTTCCCCGCTTTCTAATCGAAATAAGCATATAAAATTGCATATCTCACTGGGACCAATGCAATGCCACAGCAAAACACTATCGTCACAATTTATCTACACAGAGAGGTGTTAATTAGGATTTGAACTCACGACTGTTACCATTCATTCGCCAACCTCTTTTAAACCAAAACCAACCCTATATTTATGTATCGTGAAGTTGAAAGCTGTCTGTGAAACGATAGATGACTGATACGTAAAAGTGGCTATTAAAGGACAGACCGTGGTAAGTCATGGGTTAAAATTGGCATGCATTTGAGTAACGAAGGGTTGGTTTCCCGACCTCGCAATTAAGACGTTTTAGATTACGGTACTGACTATATACGGAGCATTTAGTAGCGAAAAGATCGATTATGATATGTTTTTTAAAAATAATCCTTCGTAGTTTTGATGAAAAGTTACAAAAAATAGACAAATACCATATAAAGGGTATTAAGGAAATGTTTAATCTATTAAAATTCAAGAATTTATCAAAGAACTGTTCATAATAGAGCTAGTATTAATCCATAATTGTTCCAGACATTAAAATAATGTTATTAAAAATTTTCACGCCATTTAAACCGGATTGATTCTTCTTAAAAACATCATCATCAATGAATTAATGTCATGGGTATTTTCAACCCATTCAAATTTTATGAGCGTTCAAATCAATGTAACAGTCCTTTTGTGATAGTGTTAAAAGAACAAATAATAATATTTTTCGTCCATTATTCTCAGTGTTTATCTACCTTCACTAATATTGGCCTCAGACCGTAGCCGATGGATTGTAGGTGAATATTAAGGTTAGTGATTCGTGCTAAGTGATGGGATTAAACATAAAGCGGAAATATTGCCTTAAATAATGCTATTATTAAATGTATTTTGATAGCAATGTTACTTTTATATACCGCTCTAATAGCGGTACAAATATGCTCACTTCATCGCAGTCTACTGCTGGACCTAGGCCTCTCCCATTGCTATGCTCACTTAGCGTTTGTAAACCAAAGATTTTAACATTTGTTGTATTTTCTGATTTTCTGCGTACAAACAAGCTGCCTGCGGTGGTTGCCTTACTTAATAAGTGTAAATTAGTGAAATTTAAATTATTTCTTGTAATTTGTAATTTGTATTTGTATTTTGTAATTTGTAATTTATTTACAATCAAAATATTATTATTAATTTATTATTTACACTCAAACAAAGTTATACAATTACAGGTGCACTAGTTTTTAGTTTGTATCTTGGACCAAGCACAAAACCTTGTGGTACACCACGAGTTGGTCTTACAGCCTTACAGTGCACATTAGCGATTCGTTGTGGACATATTTAGTTTCCTCCTACATATAGCATTTTATTAGTGACTTTAGGCGGCTGGGATATGCTTATGGTATCGTTATGACCGATTATTATCAGCTGTATTAGAGGTTAAGAGAATGTGCTGTCCAGTTGGGGGTTTCGTTTTGATGATGTTTTATTATTAAAAGGATTCCGTTAATTCCACAGGTTACCATTTCCGTATTTTCTTTTCAATTCTTCTTCTTCTTTTTTCTATTCAAAATTCTACTTATGTTTATCACTCACAATATTCTTCTTGAGATAATGCTTTAATGATTGGTTTTTGCTACACAGCAAATCTCGACCATGGGTAATTTTGATCAGCCCTTAATATGGATCAAAATGGCAATCATTTTGTTCTATTTTATGCATTATATCTTATTATTTGGGAGACTGTTTAGGCTGGCTAATATATATTTAACAATTTAGATTGTTCAAAGGTAATTATCGTACTATTAAATTAATTACTGCCTATTAAAGATGATCTTGAAGAAATTTAAAAAGAAAACAAAAACACAACATTATGGCATTAGATCTAATTTACTAAAGATTTCTTTAAACAGGAAGTTTTAAAAAATATTTAAAAGTCGCTTTTAATTTTGTTATCCGGAATGGTGCCAAGAAAACTTTTGTCAGAATCACGATATATTGTACTACTCAATACGTTAAACTACATATAATATATGTAATCTCAAAATAATCCATCCGTCACTTGGCGGTTAGTTAGACTCCATAATTATGACACGTCTGTAACTTGATCTGCCGCGTCACTGTCATTTTAGGCTCGAAATGAAACTGTTTACGTTAAAAAGTCGCGAAACGGTGTCTGTTTACTTAGCAGCTAAGGCTCGGCTTACACGAAGTAAACTGATCTTTAGATAACGTTCAATTAAGTACGACTTTTTCTCATATTCAATTTTTTGGACGATTTTACACCACATGTAGACAGCAAATAAATATTGCCTACGAAAAGATCTAATTGAGACTCAGAAAAATAACGTTACTGTCATTAGCACTAAAGTGAATACTTACATTTTACTTTACCATCAATAATAATCTATGACCACATAGATAGCGCATTATTAGCATTAAGGCTCAAAATATGCAAGATTTTTTAATTAGTTGTTTCTTAGACGAGTTTACTTACAATATTGAGTTAGTATCAACCATAGGTGGTCTATAAGCTTAGAAAGAATGACAATCAACGACAAAGTATTGATAATTCACTAAATTTATGCGAGAATCTGCCTTTGATCCTTAATTTTAAGCGGGGATCGAATAACTTGTGTTTAATGACTTTATTGCAAGTTGACTCTATGGTTTTTTATTCGAAGGCATTTTGACATTTGTATAATTATCGGTCTGACCTATTTTGTACATTATGCAAGGGCTAATTAAACCTGATGATTGACTTAATATCCTTGTTATAAATTCGTTACAAAGTATATGTCGTGTATTGCATGTTTATTGATGAATTAAACATCAGGTAGCTGGTTTTTTATATGATGACTATAAATGTATCATAAAACATTAATTTTACGATTTAAAGTGTCAACCTTGAAATAAAATACTAGGTTTTTAGATTTTGGTGTTCTATTTTACATATTAGTACAGTGCAGTGTTAGGAACTGTGAATAATTATATGAGGATATATTTATATATTTAAAGGGAAATAAGACGCCTTAAAACAGACTGCTTACAGAGATTAAATGGGAATTGACCCGTACCATTCTACCTTAGGTACTAAAACATTTTAAGAACAGATTAAAATAATTAAACTAATCTATAATAGGCTTCAGTAATCGCTTACAATGGGACAGACCGCTTGTCTGCCACTGACTTAATATTGAAAAATGACTATTCATGAAAGTCGAGTGTCAGATCCGATTTTCAGCGGATACCGGTGTATATTGGCCTGCGCAAACCGGCGGACGGCAGGGGAGAGTATCGAAGAGGATCAACACTGACGAGGGAAAATCCCTTACGATACGGTGAGCAGACGCCAGCGCGAAGCCGACAGCTGGGACTGTAGAGAGCGCTCTTGTTCCGGCCTAACGCAAACTGCTGGACGGGAGGTAGAGGATATTTTAAATGTGCTCTGTAATCGACCGATTACGGCATTGAAGACTGCGTTTAGAGGATACCGCAGCGGTAGCAGCGGTTTGCGCTAAGCATTTCTGCTCTTGAGGCCCACTACCCCGGCGCATGCGCA